ATTGTTTATATCTATTGATGTAAGCTCCCTTTAGAATTTTATAATTTTTATTTGTTTATAGTCTGACAACAGATTTACTAAGTATTGCGCAAAGCACAGTGTATTGCACAACAGCAAGAAATCTTTAATTGAATATAAATTCAATTCATATAACCAACTTCAAGTTCTTTGACTACATTTATTCAGAAACCTATAATAGATGTATGTCAAATATTTAATTACAATCCAAATTCAGACCTGTATCAAGCTTGAATATTGTGTCCATTTTTGCCCCAACTGTTCAGGGTTAGACCTCTGCGGGCGTATCCAGCTGCGCTCAGCGAAGCAGTTTATTTGTGGACTCTTTTTGTCTGAGCAGGTTTACATTCGGCTTATATTTACATGTAAAGAACATTACACATCGTAATGTTGGTTTATTTATTGTCGTGAACATGAAACAATTGCTCGGGCCCGGACTGACATTTAGCCGCGAGTCACCCATATCGAACGAAAGCATTAATAATAGATCATTGTTTACGCTATATTTTGCTGTCAGGTCTAGGTATGGATGTGTAGACATTGGTTGGTTACGAGTGATGGCTGTCTTCTCGGTGAACTGAGAGGGATTGGGCCCGGGATAACTACAGTTTGTTTATGAGGAAAATTCTGGGCATTTTTGTGAGTTTCAAGTAATTTTGGGTTGGCATTGGTCTTTCGGGTCTGCAATGGTCCTTAAAAGCAGATTTCGGGTAGCCTTAGATTTCGGGTACGTGTTTTGTAATTCTATGCAAATTCCCTTTTGTCACATGTTTGTCCAAGTAAAATTTTATTGGATTTATGTCAAGTTAAATTCGGATAATTTAGGGTATGATCTGTTTATTTTCTTGATACTTAAGGGTCTCTTAAATTAAATATGCAAATGCTGGATAATTTCTGATCTTTTTAGTGAACTCAATCGGATTATTTCGGGTAGGGTTTTATAATTTCAATCAATTAAGGATTTGAGTACGCCATGGATGCTATCCTCAGTGAGATTCAACTTCTCCGCTATGCACGCGATAATAAGCAGAAATTGCTAAAATCCCGAAAAATAAAGCCCATTGAAGTGGAATTTATCTTTGGTTTAAACCTCCTTTCCTCCGCCGAGTGTGCGTACACTTAGTAATCTTACTGTATATTGCTATAGTACAGTCTGCTGGTGAAGAAAAATGCGGTTTAGGAACATTTGAGTTGCCATAATCAACATTTTGTAACCATTTAACTGCATACTTTTCTTTGCTCTTAAAAGAATGTTTACATTTCAATAAAATTTAATGTTGCGTTTCAGTCATATGTGATATACAGCATTAAGTAACGTGTCGACCACACTAACATATTTTTTAGTGATAATTTTCAATAAGGCAATAACGAGCAGGTCATCTATACATATTCCATAGTTGATACAACCTCGGAGTTAAGTAAGATAGTAATTTTATAAATGGTTGTTCTTTTTTGGGCACAGACTGCTAAATACGAATATAACTCTGTAGAGGAGATAGATGCACCAGATAAGTTTTATGAGCATTCTTCAGGTCAGAAAACAACAATGATGTAAACATAAGTGATATGCACCTTAATAAATATATATATTTACGTTTCGCGGATATAATTGTTATGCAATGCTTTTTGAAATTTTTTCGTATCAAGTTCCTGTCTATTTGTATTACGATTTTAACATTGGTACGGATATTTCATTGTGTTCTCAATGTGCAATTTAATACGCATGTTCTTTACTTCAATTCTCAATATTTTGTGGGTAAAATGATAAATTTTTTTATAAGGTCAAATTCAATTATTTATTATGCCCCCGCCGTAGCGGTGGGGGCATTAAGTTTTACCCTTGTCCGTCTGTACGTGGCGGTACGTACGTCCGTACGTGCCAAAATTGGTTTCCGTTCTCTTACTTGAGTTTGCCTCAACCAAATGTTATGAAACTTATACACAATGCTTATTACCACAAAACACATCACGTCATTTAACCGTTCTAGAGTTATGCCCCTTTATAAATGGAAAATTGCAAAATTTTTAGTTTCTGTTCTCTAACTTAAGTTTGCCTCAACCAAATAGTATGAAACTTATACACAATGCTTGTTACCTCAAAACACAGATCAAGTTTGAATTTTGGTGGCGTCACTTTAATTGTTCTAGAGTTATGCCCCTTTATAAATGGAAAAATTGCAAAATTTTTAGTTTCCGTTCTCTTTCTTAAGTTTGCCTCAACCAAATGTTATGAAACTTATACACAATGCTTATTACCACAAAACACAGATCAAGAGTTTGAATTTTGGTGGCGTCACTTTAACCGTTCTAGAGTTATGTCCCTTTAGAAATGGAAAAATTGCAAAATTTTTCTTTTCTTTTAAATATCAAGTTATTTTTAAAATTGGAGTTATCTTCCTTTGTCCATGATTATAGTTGAATAAACTACAATCAATGCTTTATACAATGCAATGTTTAATTTTGACTTCCACTGATAAAACACAGATCAAGTTGAATTTTGATAGTGTCACTTTAACCATTATTGAGTTATGCCCCTTTATAAATCGAAAGATTGCAAAATATTTAGATTCCATTCTGTAACTTAAGTTTGCCCCAACCAAACATTATGAAACCTATACACAATATTCATTACCACAAAACTAAGATCAAGTACACATTTTTTGTTTCCGTTTTCTAACTTTATAGTTTGCCTCAACCAAATGTTATGAAACTTATACACAATGCTTATGACTACTTAATACAGATTAATTACGAAATTTTGGGGCGACACTTTTACTAATCTTGAGTTATGTCCCTTTATAAACATAAAAATTGCTGAATTTTTAGTTTCCGTTCTCTAACTTTAGTTTGTCTCAACCAAATGTTATAAAACTAATACACAATGCTTATTATCACAAAACTCAGATCAAGTTCAAATTAGGGTAGCGTCACTTTTACCGTTCTTCAGTTATGTCCCTTTATAACTATATGATATGCAAGCGGGGGCATCAAAAAAACTTCCGCAACGTTTAGCCCAAAACGTATTAAGTTTCAATAATATTAGGATTGAAATAGTTTGCTTCAAAATCTTTCTAGCCACTCTAATGTAATGAAGGTTATTTCTCAAACACGGGAAGTAGGGGTCGATCTAAACATGGGATTTTTGGTACAGAAGTGCAGCTGGGAAAACACCCAAATTTCATAAATTAAAACCAAAAAAATCACGACACTTAATATGTTTCCAATGGCAAAATCATGACCCATTCATAGTTTTCTCAGTAATCCCATACATGTATTATACAATATAAATAAGAAGATGTGGTATGAGTGCCAATGAGACAACTCTCTATCCAAGTACAAGTTTTGATATCTTAATTTGAATAAAAACGATAAAATAGCATTTAAACAATTATCTATTATAATTCGGAGGATGAAAATTACTGACCCATTGATACATGTAGTTGACCTCAGTAAAATTTAGTATATGCCATTAATATAATTTAAATATATAAAGGGGACACATTCCAGCGGCACGTCTGTGTATACCTTCATTTAGTCATAGAACCCCAAATCTAGATTGAGACCCACGTGCGTGTCCTCAATATCCCAGTTCTGAAATATAGTCCCATTTATATTATTTATCTCAGGTGTACCACCCCTTTTTCTTTCTAGGGTAATATTTTACCGTAAACACCTTTATCATTCAAAACTACGTGTGAAAACTTAACACTTAGGCAGTAAGCACCGGCATGTACGACCCCCCCCCCCCCCCTCCCTGAAAATAAACGTTCCGGCCCCTCTGCCAGTTTCATTTGATTTGTTCCAACTAAAACAACGAAATTCAGATGCACGCAAACTTTGCAACACACAAACATATTGTATTATAAGACATTTGGCGGAGATTTAAGTTAAAATTATAAAATAACTATTTATTTCGTTTCATTTTGTTTCGTTTTGCGCTATTTCGTTTTGTTTCGTTTTGTTCCGTTCCGTGCCGTTTCTATTTCGCTTCGCACCTTACAGGTACCCTATTTTTTCTGCTTAAGTTAGTTGATAGGAATTAATTGTGATAGATCAATGATATTTTATATAAAGTTGCATACTTATCCAAGCATATCAGTTTGACAACTGAATTTATTAGCATACCTATCCATCTTCAATCCAAGCATATCTTTTTGACAGCTATTTCAAGGCTCTGTCCTCTAAGTCATGGTCCAGCGTCTTTCAATTAATAAGCAAGCAATTTTCAACATTAAATTTTCTGCTTAGTTAGTTTGATAGTTACTACTAATGATAGACAATGCTATTTTGTATAAAGTTGCATTACTATCAGTATCAGTACATCTCAGTTTGTTGACTATTTTGAGGTCCTATCCCAAGTTCATGGTCCAGCAACTTCATATTGATTAGCAATGTTGCTGTCCATCAGATTGTCTTTTCTGATTTTATTTTCTGCAGACTGGCGAGACATATCTCTGAGTCAACAGTTTATTTATTATAAATAAGAAGATGTGGTATGAGTGCCAATGAAACAACTCCCCGTCCAAGTCACAATGTATTCAAAGTTAATAATTATAGGTCAAAGTACGGCCTTCAACACGGAGCTTGTAAATTATATTGACATTACCAACATTCTTTTCCTTATGAACAAAGAAGACGTGAGGTACACATCAATGAGGCAGTACAGCATATATACTTCTTGTACATGTTGTATATAGTATGGAATTAGAATTCCCCAAACATGCAGATGCATAAATGCAGAGTATTTTCGTTCTTCGTGATCGGCACATTTTCGCTATCGTGATCCGTTTTCTACATATTTTTTTTTTTATATTTTCGTGATCCGTGATCATGGAAATTTATTTTTTGTGAATCGTGATTGACAAAAAAATCAACTCGTGAATCGTGATGAGACCCCCCCCCATCAGGCCCCTCATATTTTATGTGTAATTTACGGGAAGTTATCAAAAGGTTTATGTCTTAATTTTTTTTGTTCCTTACAGAGTTGTACAAGAACTCACAGGTGATAAACCTTATTAATAGGATGTATGAGGTAGAGGATTTAGTTACGACCAATGGTACTCAACAGAGACACATAAGAACAGAGGCTGGTAATAAACTTCTTAAATGTGATGTTTGTCCTAGAGAACTTAGTCAAAGCAGTGACTTAAAGAGACATGTGAGAACACATACTGGTGAAAAACCTCATAAATGTGATGTTTGTGCTAGTGAATTTTATTGCAGTAGTAACCTTAAGGTACACATGAGAACACATACTGGAGATAAACCTCATGCCTGTGATTTATGTGGTAAACGGTTTAGTCAGCATAGTAATTTAAAGAGACACATGATAATACATACAGGTGATAAACCTCATGAGTGTGGTTTATGTAATAAACGGTTTAATCAGTATAGTACTTTACAGAGTCACATGAGAACACATACAGACAAAAAACCTCATGACTGTGATCTATGTGGTGAACAGTTCAATCGTCATGGTTATTTTCAAAGTCACATGAGAAAACATACCAGTGACAAACCTCACAACTGTGATGTATGTGGTAAAGGGTTTAGTCTACATGCTACTTTACAGAGACATATGACTATACATACAGGTGATAAACTTCATAAGTGTGATTTATGTGATCAACTGTTTAATCAGCATAGTAGTTTACAGAGTCACATGAGAACACATACAGGCGATAAACCTCATGAATGTCATGTATGTGGTAAACGGTTCAGTCAGTCTCGTTATTTACAAAGTCACATGAGAATACATACCGGTGATAAACCTCATGCCTGTGATTTATGTGGTAAACGGTTTAGACAGCATAGTAATTTAAAGAGACACATGATGATACATACAGGTGATAAACCTCATGAGTGTGATTTATGTGATCAACGGTTTAATCAGTATAGTAGTTTACAGAGACACATGAATTCACATACAGACAAAAAACCTCATGACTGTGATGTTTGTGGTGAACGGTTCAGTCGTCCTCGGTATTTACAAAGTCACATGAGAAAACATACCGGTGACAAACCTCACGACTGTGATGTATGTGGTAAAGGGTTTAGTCTACATGCTACTTTACAGAGACATATGACTATACATACAGGTGATAAACTTCATAAGTGTGATTTATGTGATCAACTGTTTAATCAGCATAGCAGTTTACAGAGGCACATGAGAACACATACAGGCAATAAACCTCATGACTGTCATGTATGTGGTGAACTGTTCAGTCAGACTCGTTATTTACAAAGTCACATGAGAAAACATACCAGTGACAAACTTCACAACTGTGATGTATGTGGTAAAGGGTTTAGTCTGCAAGCTACTTTACAGAGACACACGACAATACATACAGGTGATAAACCTCATGAGTGTGATTTATGTGATAAACGGTTTAATCAGCATAGTAGTTTAAAGAGACACATGAGAACACATATTTGTGAAATACCTTATAAATGTGATGTTTGTGGTAGAAAATTTTCCCAAGGTAGTATCCTAATTAAACACATGAAAATACATACTGGAGATAAAACTCATGTCTGTGATGAATGTGGTAAACGGTTTAGTCAGCATGCTAATTTAAAGAGACACATGATAATACATACAGGTGATAAACCTCACGAGTGCGATTTATGTCATCAACGGTTTAATCAGTATAGTAGTTTACAGAGGCACATGAGAACACATACAGGCGATAAATCTCATGACTGTGATGTATGTGGTGAACGGTTCAGTCTTCTTCGTTATTTACAAAGGCACATGAGAATACATACTGGTGACTAACCTCATGACTGTGATGTATAAAAGGTTTAGTCTGCATGCTACTTTACAGAGACATATGACTATACATACAGGTGATATACCTCATTAGTGTTATTTATGTGATTAACTGTTTAATCAGCATACTAGTAGTAGTTTACAGAGATGCATAAGAACACATACAGGTGATAAGCCGCATGAATGTTATGTACGTGGTAAAGAGTAAACACGGTAAAGTGTTCAAGCCAAGCTGGTAATTTATATAGACATATGCTTGACAATTCGTATTATATATTTATCCCCGGCTTAGTATATTTCTAGGATTTTGATTGGTTAAAGCAGGTCGTTACAAAACCCATTGCCCCTGGTTGTTGCTAACCCACATACCCGGGCGTTGCTACCTATTACACCGAGGAACGTCACGCGCGTTTTCTTAGTTCCATGGTTGTTCCTTGTAAAATATCGAATTCTGTAGATTATTTATGATGTCTGTAATTAAATATTTAATCAACTAACCGGATTTTATCTTATTATGTCGATCATTTGCATTCATTTTAGTAAATGCATCACTTGGCTGATTGCCAATGAATGGGACTACTGACCAAGCTATGCAAATGACCCACGTTGACGGCACAACGTCTATGATGTTACTCCCACAACACTGAGCGCCAAATTCGGCCCATTTCCGTTTCTCTAATCTACCAAAGATAGTATATCCTACACCCGTTAAAAATATATCAAATTCCCAAATTTCTATAAAAGATTTTTACAAAATGAAAAAAAAAAAAACGTTGCTTTCACGTTACACTTTGTGGTCGAATTTCTCTAAAAATCGCCGAATCTGGACTAAGACCGGGTATAAATTCGTTATCTACGTTCATATCCGTAGATATGGATATTTTAACACCCTTCAGTACCCTGTACACCATTCGGCTTCGCCTCTGGATGTACTTGGATACTTAATGGTGTTAAAATGTCCATATCTACGGATATGAACATAAATAACTTATAATATATTTATTAATTACCTAACAAATGTTATTTCTTCGAATAAGGATCATATCCAGGCCAAGATCACTGGTGTTAAACTGATAATCGTAACTGGAATTACGACGATCCCAATATGGCGACGGCAGAAATAGGTAAAATCTTTTCAGTCATTTTTATACGCCCGTGTACGGGACGTATTATGGTATACCGTTGACCGTCTGTCAGTCCGTCTGTCCGTCCGTCCGTCGTCAACATGTCGGACATTAACTCAAAAACGCTTTAACCAATATGCATGAAACTTTATTGAATTGTTTATATCTATTGACGTGAGCTCCCTTTCGTTTTTTATAAATTTCAGATGTACCGTTTCCGAGTTTTGGGTTTTATTCATTAAAAAAGGGGGGATTTTCCAGTTTTCCGACAATAACTCAAGAACGCTTTCACCAACTTGCAAGAAATTTTGGTTAATTGTTTATATCTATTGACATGAGCTCCCTTTCAATTTTTATGAATTTTAGATTTTACGTTTTCGAGTTCCAGGGTTTTATTCATAAAAAAGGGGGATTTTCCAGTTTTCTGACAATAACTAAAAAATGCTTTCAGCAGTTCTCATGAAACTTTGGTGAATTGTTTATATCTGTTGATGTAAGCTCCCTTTAGAATTTTATAAATTTTAGATTTTACATTTCTGAGTTATAGGGTTTTATTCATTAAAAAAGGGGGGATTTTCCAGTTTTTCGACAATAACTCAAAAATGCTTTCATCAGTTCTCATGAAACTTTGGTGAATTATTTATAGCTATTGATGTAATCTCCCTATTGATTTTCATAAATTTCAAATATAACATTGAGAAGAAATTGAACTTTATTTGTTTATTGTCTGACAACAGATTTACTTACTATTGCGCAACAGCACAGTGTATTGCACAACAGCAAGAAATCTTTAATTGAATATAAATTCAATTCATATAACCAATTTCAAGTTCTTTGACTACATTTATTCAGAAACCTTTAATATGTCAAATATTTAATTACAATCCAAATTCAGACCTATATCAAGCTTGAATATTGTGTCCATTTTTGCCCCAACTGTTCAGGGTTGGACCTCTGCGGGCGTATCCAGCTGCGCTTAGCGAAGCAGTTTATTCTCAAATGTAGCCCGTTGTTGTCAAGAGTTACTCAGCTGCAAGGTTTTTGTATACCATTACATCTTATTTGAATCGTAACGGTGCACTATAACTGTCTAAGCGCTTAGAAAATTGCCGTCGAAAAATTCGGGATGATAATCGTAATTCGATGGCATTTTTCTTGTTTGATAATCGTAAATTTTCTTTATGGGATAATAGTAACTGAAAAATAATAAATGTGTCTTCCAGTTTGTCAATGGTATTTTGTGTGTAAAAACTGCAATGTCCAGTTAAACGATGAAAATTAACGCGCAAAAATAAAAAATAATGAAGCAACTTACAGGTTAATATTTAGGACAAATTTACTTATATGTATATATATCTCGATTTATAACTGACAACAATATGCATAACATTTTAATATATACATGTACCTGTTAAAGATATGGAAAATGAAGCAGCTGTCGAGTCAGTTATTGTGGTAAATAGATAATTTAAATTCTTTCAAAGTTTCAATGTTGTTTTCCCGTTTAGGGTTGTTTTTTGGAAGTGGGGAAATTTAAGTGGGGAGGGGGGGGGGGGGGGGGGGGGTATATCATTATCCCATATCCCAAAAGTGCAATCCTTTCAAATGAAAGTCCTGTATACCACATTTCAATATGCCATATGTTTTGCCTCAAATATTGCATATATCCAATCGACTTTTAAATCAATAAAAAGGGCAAGTTAACATCCCCTATCTCAATATTCCCTATACCACGGGGGTGGCTGTGGGTTACTTCCTATATAAATATATAAGTTATAACATGGATCAGATTTTTGATCTTCGGCAATATATGAAAGGGGATATTTTTTTTTAAATTTCAGCAGCACGCCAGAAGTGACACCACCCCTTCCCCCGTGCCTTATACAGACCTCATTTCTGTCAGTTTTGAGTTCCCTGTTGTTTATATTCGGGGATAGGTCCACAAATTATTTAAAAGGGAAATGGGGGGAGGGGGTGTGCTATAAACTGAACGTTTATACTAAATTTCTGCTCAAAATGAACAAAATTTTCCATCAGTTACTTAACTGCATTATTGGATTTAACAGTTGATACTTTGATTGGTGGATATGGGTTTTCATTTTGCCCTTTTCCTTATATTTCAATAGAAATACATCTATACTATTAAACGAGAAGACCTCATTTTGTGTGTCGCTTCTCTTCCTTCCACAATAAATTAATCATCATGTCTTTGTGTCCTATAGAGTGAAATGTATCCCGGTTAAAATAGCCGTTCATATTTTTCAAGTGAATTCACTTTTGTTCTGTTTTACACTGATATTTTATATGATTTTAAAAATTAAATTCAAATATTTTGATTAAATACCCATGTATTTTAGGACGTTTCTTTAAACTGGGTGGATGGTAAAGGATCTAGAATAGTTACCAGTTAATTGTTACTTTTGTTTATTGTTACTTGTGTTTATTGTTCCTTGTGTTTATTGTTCCATGTGTTTATTGTTCCATGTGTTTATTGTTCCTTGTGTTTATTGTTCCATGTGTTTATTGTTCCTTGTGATTATTGTTACTTGTGTTTATTGTTCCTTTTGTTTATTGTTCCTTGTGTTTATTGTTACTTGTGTTTATTGTTCCTTGTGTTTATTGTTCCATGTGTTTATTGTTACTTGTGTTTATTGTTTTTATTAGCCTCAACTAAATGGCGCGTATAGTCTTGCGAAGCATTTGAAGGACTGAAAAAAAACCCACAAATATATATTATATATATGTATATTGGTCCTCACAAGGCATAATATGAAGATCGTCACGGTCGAAACTGGTTTAATTACAAAGACTTTAATAGATAATCAAACAAATATTTTGTGCTTCAGAAAAATTCATGACAATTATGAAAGGCTAATTTTTGTTTTCATTTGATAGAAAAGTACTAAGTATATGGTAATTATGCAAGTACAAAAATGTTCTTTGTTACCTTCAATATTTTTTCTCTACAATAACTTCCATGCATATGTATGCAGCATATTTTTCATATACCAAGTATTTATGATTTCTTGAATCAGTTTGTTTCTGATATGGCGGAATATGCGCTATGATTTCTTAAAGTTGCAGTCATTCTTTGGATAGATATAGCTTGTAATGTAATTTAAGGCCACATCAATTTCATTTCTTGATCTTCGGGCTTTTGGCCAAACTATTAAAGAATACAAGTCCATGTTTGCCAATGAACTCCACGTCATCATGTGCTTAACTCCATAACACACAAAGCATTCCAACTTTTCTCTACTTTTATATTATCATTAAACGTTTTAAGGATGTCATATCATTAGAATGACAAACTAAATTGGTGTTGTTAAAATTTATAGTTATTTTCTGAGATATCGAAATGTCAGTGACGGTCATGAAGTAGCTAAGCATTTTTATAGCATTTATGGGCTATACAACTTTTTACACATTCAAAAAGGTGTGACATTTGTTTTCAAGTCCGTATTTAAATAGAATACCAAACAATATTTCTTTTTAACTCTAAACATGAAGAGATCATGATGACATTTTTTAAAATTTTCTCCCATATTTTGTGACGGTCCTATTTCCTGGAGTTTTCAGCATTTTAACATAGTTCGTGTTTCCCCATTTACCAATTTATTGAAGCTTCCAATTTTATGATATATACTAGTATGTAGCTGTTTACATAAACCTAATAACTGTTGATCATATATGCACAAAAAGAAATGTCATAAGATGTGGGAACGTTTTCGTGATTAATTCATCACCATATTTTCATCATATGCTATTAGATAGACGTTTTTCGTGTCAATACCAATCAAACACTATCCAGTTACGATTATCTTCTTATTTATTAATACCGAAATTACGATTATCATTTTTGCGAGTTACGATTATCATCCCGAATTTTTCGACGGCAATTTTTATTTGGCATGCAGTTGTATTAGCATTGGCTTATCTCATTTTATATGGAGATTATTTGGCTCCGCCCCCTTAGTCATGGTCTATGGACTTTGAAAATTTTGCTAAGTTAACATGTATTAGTTTGTGATTAGGTCAGTTCAAGGGGAACCGTTAGTGGTAGGCCAATGTTAATTGCTGTTCAGTTGTATAAGCATTAGCACATCTCATTTCCATGGAGAATATTTGGCCCCGCCTCCTCAGTCATGGTCTATTTACTTTGATACTTTTGCTTAGTTTACATGTATTAGTTTGTGATTAGATCAATTTAAGATAAACTGCTAATGTTAAGTCATTGATATTTGGTATGCAAATTTATTGGCATTTGCAAGTATCGTTTCCATGGAGATTATATAGCCCCACCCCCTCATCATGGTTCATTGACTTTGAAACTTTTACATAGTTTACAAGTTAATGTTTGTGTTTAGGTTTGTTTAAAGGGAACGACTTATAATAAGTCAATGGTATTTGGTAAGCAGTTGTATTAGCATTGGCACATCTCATTCCATGGAGATTGTTTAGCCATGTACCTTCAGTCATGGTTCATCGACTTTGAATGTTTGCATAACTTACATGTTAAAGTATTGCTATTTTAATTTCAACATTTGCATTATCAAAATTACAAAAAGGTGAGACATATCTCTGTGATAACAGTTTATTTACTACATGCACCTCTTGAACAGTAATATATCTTATCATGTTAATAATAATAAATTGAAGTACTTGACTGTAAATAAACTATGTGTAAATATCTGTTTTTGATTGTATTATAATGTGTGTGTGCTGACCCAGGGAAGATTAGTTTGTTGTAACTAGCTGTGTTTATACTCTTTTTAAATAAAGAATTTATTTTTAGCTCACCTGGCCGGAAGGGCCAAGTGAGCTTTTCTCATCACTGGGCGTCCGTCGTCCGTCGTCGTTAGCTTTTTACAAAAATCTTCTCCTCTGAAACCACTGGGCCAAATTTAACCAAACTTGGTCACAATCATCATTAGGGTATCTAGTTTAAAAAATGTGTCCGATGACCCCGCCAACCAACCAAGATGGCCGCCATGGCTAAAAATAGAACATAGGGGTAAAATGTAGATTTTGGCTTATATCTCTGAAACCAAAGCATTTAGAGTAAATCTGACATAGGGTAAAACTGATTATCAGGTCAAGATCTATCTGCCCTGAAATTTTCAGACAAATCTGACAACCAGTTGTTCGATTGCTGCCCCTGAATTGGTAATTTTAAGGAAATTTTGCAGTTTTTGGTTATTATCTTGAATGTTATTATAGATAGAGATAAACTGTAACCAGCAATAATGTTCAGCAAAGTAAGATCTACAAATAAGTTGTCATGACCAAAATTGTCAGTCGACCCCTTTAGGAGTTATTGCCCTTATTAGTCAATTTTTAACAATTTTTCGTAAATTTTTGTAATCTTTTACAAAAATCTTCTTCTCTGAAACTACGGAGACAAATTTAACCATACCTGGCCATAATCATTATTAGGGCATCTAGTTTAAAAAATTGTCCGATGACCCCGCCTTCCAACCATCATGACCGACTTGGTTAAAAATAGAACATAGTGGTAAAATGCAGTTTTTGGTTTATATCTCTGAAACTAAAGCATTTAGAGCAAATCTGACAGGTGGCAAAAATGTTCATCAGATTTAGATTTATCTGCCCTGAAATTTTCAGACGAATCCGACAACCTGTTGTTGGTTTGCTGCCCCTGAGTTAGTAATTTTACAAAAATTTTGCAGTTTTTTGTTATTATCTTAGATATCATTATAATATCTAATACTATTAATTATGATTTCAACCTTATTTTACATGATTTCCAAAGCATCAGTAAGTACAGGTGAGCGACACAGGCTCTTGGGAGCCTCTAGTTATTATTATGATTGTATGAGAGTTCATCTGGGTATTAAACTTTGTTAAAACATAAATTGATTGGTGGATTTTTGGTATTAATCACCACTTTCATCAATATTAGCTAATTGGTGGAAGCCCGGTTTTATTGGTGGAGGAAGCCGGTGTGGCTGGAATGCATGCACGAACCAACGAACTTCAGTAGGAAAACAGACATACCTAGTCAATCAGTAAGATTTGAGCCTGGTTTTAAACATTTGAAAGTTTTAACCTTTAAAATAGGTGTGTGATTAAGAATTAAGGTTTTATATTAAACTTATAGTCACGTGAGAGTACGCACAGTGATTACATATGTGATGAAGGTGTAAAATGACCATTGACGTGAGAACTTACAACGAAATGAAAACACATATTAATGTCACTGTACAGCCTCAACAATGAGCAAAACCCATATATCGTATAGGCAGGTAAAAAAAGCCCCACCCCCTCCCTAATGTGATAAAATGTAAATCGATGCAAACGGAAAAAAAAATTTGTGTAAATATTCAATGGTTCAATTCAATTCAATTCAATTAAGTTTTATTTAAAGTCGATGCCCAATTAAATAAAATTGAGAATGGAAATGGGGAATGTGTCAAAGAGACAACAACCCGACCACAGAGCAGAAAACAGCCGATAGCCAGCAATGGGTCTTCAACACATCGAGAAACACTGCATTCGGAGTCAGGCTTCAGCTGGCCC